GCCGGCAGGTATGTATCGCGGCTTCAATTAACTCAGTCCTTTGCTGTAAGTACTTAAACTCGAGTTCTTCCGTCTCCTCTTTATTTTTATCTTTCCCGCACGATGTTTTATAATGCTATAATCCTCGACAATTGCAAATCCCAAAACCCCGAAATCTCTCCTCAGCTCTCCTCAGCTTAGCTTGCTAACCATCTGCCACTATACAGGTACGTTTCCGCAACGATGTTTCGAAATCTATTCCCCCGTCATTCTTTTCCACGGCTGTCTGGTTCCGTCAGTTTCCCGTCTTTGAATTCCTCATGTCCGCCAAATTGCCATTTCTTCCCTTCAAGATCATTCAGGCGTTATCTATCACGGAAAGCCGCTCCATCGCGCGCGCCACCTAAGGGCGCGCCGGTCCTATCGCAACCACAGGGTCCAAGAAAGCCATTAGAAGATCTTTACCAAAAATTTACTCGAGCCATTTCGAAAGACAAAGAAGCGACCAAGCTTTATGCAGGAACTTCTCTTGGTTCTTACGTTGTGACCACCCGAACTACAGCAGCATTTTGTTTTCTGTATGCCGGTTGGAACTTCTACACCATCACTTCCGATCCCCTTTTGGAAGTAAGCTACTTCACGACCTATGCTATGGGTGGCATATGCATTTTGATGGGTGCTATGGGGGCCGTATTCATCCGTCGTGGAACAAAGTTAATCACTGGCATCACTGCTGCGCCTGCCAGCGGGAGTATGCCGGAAATTCGGATCAATGTACGGCGGACGCTTGGGTTTCTGAAACCCCGCGAGATAGTCACCACTCCATCGCAAGTGACGTTATCTAGCCCCATATTTGTCTCGAAACAACACCTACATACCTACGATATGAGGCGAATACGTGAAGCTTTCCAAGAACGCAACATTGGACCGCAGTTATCGTTCTGGAAAGAGCCCTTGAAGAAAATAAGTTACCTTACTTGGAAAACACTCATCAACATGCGGCGCGCTTTCACCCAAGAAGGATTCGTTTACGTCGAAGTGGAGGGCATGTCTGGTGCATTTCGCCTCGACATGACGGGTTATTTTGGCGACGAGTTTCTCACCTTTGAAAGATGTGTCGCTGAGGAATCTCGCTGATGGGAGGCAACCGATCCCAAACCCTACCCCTTGGAACCGGAACGGCCTTTCTTTCTCTTTTCTTCTCTTTTCTTCCTTTTTTTCTTTTTTCCATTTGCTTCCCTTTGCTCCTTCATTTCTGTACTCGTATAATGAAGCCTTTGGCCAGTTCTCATTTCCTCTTGAATTTCTCTCACTTGTTTTCACTTTATTTCACCTTCAAGCATTACACTAAACTTCTCTAAATTTCAGCAATGTTGGTAAATACATCGCAACAACCCCCTGCCTTTTCGGGTATAGGACTCGTTGGAGAACCGCATTACAACTCGACCCCCCAAGCCATTGGAACTATGCGGGCCTCTTCTACTACTTCCGACAAAAACGCCTAGGAAAGCCGCTGCCAAATGAGTCCTTTCCAGACTGGTACCTGCAAGTGAAGTGCGGAGAAATTCCAGGTTGTTACAGCGATAACAGGACGGCTGCTGAGTGGTTTAAGGATCCTTTGCTAAAGAAATCCCCTTAGCATGTGCTCCTCCAATCCCCCTCTCAGGTGTTCCTTTTCTATGCGTACTTATTTCTACAGGCAGACGGATAGGAAATCAAAATATGATGGACGTCATGGTGGGATCTAATAATCAAACCTGGCATATATGTATATATATATATATGCCTCCACGACAACCTTCTGTGTACCAGAGGCCCTTGCGTCTAGGACGCCATTAAGAATGCAAAGCTGAATACTTTCGAAGGTATTGAACATGCATTCGTCCTTTTTGTTGAGTTCCTTTTTGTTGAGTGGCTGTACACAAATTTATTCAACTCCACCAACCAGCGCTATCTTTGGGGCTATGAATTTGGAAAATGCTATGACACACCTGGATCCTATGAAACTACTCTTCAGAAACTGCGAGACACAGCATTAGTCCATGGATTCTCTCTTAAGGAGGTGGAATACTTTGTGCTGAGTTTAGGCCCACAAGATGATCTCAGGTGCCTAGTTGTGGAATTCATCGCCCGGCTGATAAATAGAAGGATCCCACCCCCTCACTTGAGCGACACGGAATATATTCTCCCTGAGTTGTGCTTTCCGTACTGAGTTACGCAAGAGAAGTGCGATAATTCATAAAAGGCCGGACTTATTTTAGGTCCTGAGACATTGTCGACCTTCGTCCGTTCGTCTCCTCTTTAGTCGAAGACATTCGTGGGGGAATGTGGGTGATTGTCTTTTGGATGGTAACATTCTTACATTGGTATTCCATGCTATTATCTACTTTTTACACTGGTGTCGGGACTTCTCCTCGCGCTTTGAATCAAACGGAGTTTGCTACAGGTAGCCTGGGCATAACTATGTTTCAAGGCAGGGGCTAATTTCAGATAGACACTCGACAATGGGACCCTTCATGTATTCGGGTTTCCCCTTTCCTGGTTTTCTGTTTTTCTAGCAACATTTCTTATCATCCTTCTACCATCTCCAGTTCGATTTCATTTCTCTCCTCTTTTGGATGCTTTAAAGTTACGTGATCCAGAGGCAGGACTACCATACACGAGCGAGGTCGCTATGTCTATAAGCAGCCGCAGTGGTATTTTAAATACCAGCCCCCGTAAGGACAAAGTCACTCTTCTTTGCTAGTAGTATGGGGAAATACCTTCTCTATATGCTAGCGGGCTAATTTGTTGCGATTTTGCCACTTCCTACGAGCTCGAAACGGCAGTTGCTGTGGGCATACATCCCCCATACATCGAGGTCTTCCCCAACTCGCCTATTTTCCTAAACCTTGGACACACTATGTATGCCATTCATTGCTCGCTCCTTCCTAGTTGGGATTGCCGCCGCCCTGGGATACTTTTCTCGAAGGTTTATATCAGCCAAGGCCAACGGTGAAACCGTTTTTTGACGTCATTTTTTGTTTTGAGATCCCCCTGGTATATCTCCCACTCCTTTCTTTACAGGCGTTATATCATGGGAGCGAAATTCACCTTCGCGCCTACAATTTTTACTGTTCGCCATTCAAAGTCTCAGAGGAAAGGAGTCCCAGCAAATACATGGTTTTACTGGGGAGTGCTGCGGGGAGGGAATCCATTCTGTCGTCTTTCCCCCAGATGAATGAACTAGGTTTTAGGTTTACCATCTGCTTTGGGACGCCGTTGACACCCGTCTTTTGATGGCCTCTCAACGGTTCCCGTTAAGTTCGTTCTGCTTGCATCGCCTTATGAGTGGCCAACCACCACCGTACTGCGCTATAGTTGGGAGCTGGTCTCGCTGTAGGGGCCGAGGAACTTCATCATTTCTCCGGTAGGTTTGTATGAGTTCTTTGCTCTGTCCATATAGGGAAAATGCTCCTCAAGCATCTCGACAGTCTAATCGTTGCATGAAAGTTCAGGCGAGAGCATTTAAACCTGACTCGCCGTCGCTCTTTCTTCTCTTCTTTTCCTCCCTTTTTTCTCTATCATCATCATGTTTTTGCCAGACAGAGTCCCTCTTGCCTTGATTCTGCCTCCAGCTACTATTTGCCCAAGTCAAAGAAAAAGACTTGCTTCAGACTTGCTTCCAAGAAGACACACCGTTATTTGTACTTTTACAGAAGGTACAAACCACACGGCAAATATCCAAAGGTATTTGCTGCAGAGGTTGTCCTTTCTGTTATTTTTTATTCTCAACTTTCTGCAGTTAGCATTCCCGAAAGATCCCAGGAAGCTGCGCCATCAACTGATGAGAGGATCCAGTATCTCGGAGTGCTGTGCTCTTACCTGACTCTCTTCCTGACGAACCCCAAAAAAGACTCTTCTGCTGGGGTTATTGGCGAGCCTGTTGCTGCTTCCAACGGATCAAGAGACTCCAACGGACGTGGCCCCTTCGGAGCACTTCCCAAAGAGCTTTCTTCAGAAATCAACTGATTCATTCAACAAGTCAAGCGGCAAAGACGCTGAGAAACATGTGAGCCCGAATATCCGCAACAAGTCAAAAATACATAGCTTATATCCAGATAGAATTATAAAGAAATTTCCAACATTTTTTCGACGGAAAACCTCGAATCCGGAAAAAGTAGCTCAACCGCCAACTGATCAATATGCGGCCCCCTCATGAGCACGACATGGAGTGGGAAGAAGCTGTAGAGCTCGGGGATGATCCTGCCATCGTTCTTGCTCGAAGTGGAGAGTACTGCGGCTACGGTCGTTACCGCCTAGACTCTTGGATCTATTGCCCTGGCGATCCTATTCCAGATTTCGATATGCTCAACTGGGAGCAAATCCATCGGCTCCGCAAAAAACTTTTTCTCAAGGAAGATGGGCGGCCACTCCTATGCGCCCCACCTAACGACGGATTTAGCCCTCTTCGTCAGCGCCTTGGGGAGTTTATTCGGAGGTTCAAAGAGGTATTTCGCTGATTTTTCGTTGTTGATAATGTTTATTTTTTGTCTTTTTTTGATATGCTAATTAATGTGTAGATTCTACCTAAACTGCTGGACCCAGCGTTCGTTACACAGTGGGATCCGATTTGCGTCCTCCTTAACGCTGGGCCTTCGCCAAATCCTTATTAAATCGCACTGTTTTTCAATTTTATGGTCCCGAGGGCGTGATTGCTTTTTTCTACTAGGACTTCATGCTAAAATTTGGTTGTTTATGTTCCCTCTTTGGATATTTACATGTTTTTCACTGTGTGCAATCTAAATATTCCCCTATCTACTCTGTATATATATGCACTGTACAATATGTAACCTGCGCATCCTCCCCCTTTTACCCAACACCAAATTACTACGAGCATCGTGATCTAAATTGTTTTTTATTTTTTATTTTTATTTTTTATTTTTATTTTTTTGGATAAATTCCCCTGTATTATATGCGTCCCGGTTCTAAATTGTCAAAGGGTGGACCTTTTTTATTTACGTATGTCATGTTACGAACGCTGCAAAAGCTGTTCTGCTTTGAAAAGCACTGTCATGTATCTGAGTGTCCCTATTTACTTAATTAATTTATTACTTTGTTTTTTTTTTGGAATATGTTCAAATTACATACTTTCTCGTAGATTTAGTATCAGGCGTAATCATAAGTGATAAAAAGAATATGTATGGAACTGAAGTTACATGAATTTTACTAGGTACGGTGGAAAGTTGCTAAGATTGCACAGCGTCACAGAAGAAGAATAGCAACGCCCGATACGTATCGTTAACATAGCGACCCTACCATCGTGCTCATTATCAAAAAGAAACAATATTTCATACATCCACGCATCTTCAAAGAAAACTTAGAAAAGGCCTGATAATGGTTGTTGTCCACCTAGATGAAATAGAAGCGAAGCTGGCTGTCATTGGCTGGAAAAAGAAATAACGTCATTCCAGCGGATCGCGGAGCAAAACGGACAGGCTGAAACGAAAATTGAGAGAATCAGCTAAATAAAGAAAACAGCGAAGGACATCATCTATATTTCCGAAGCTGTAGATTGTAACCAGGTAAGTTAGTGTACGAACACAATCAGAGAGTTGTGGACTAGAGCAAACGAAACGCGACAAATGTTTTCATGGAAAAGGGGCATACATCGAGCGTCAAACACTTGCTACTATTCGCAGCCTGGTCTCTGTAAATTCCTACCAACGCCTCGCTGTTCTGGAAGAGGCCCGTCTTCAAGCTGATGACGATAAACTGCATACCGGGTGCAGCATGGTCGCGGATATAGTTGGCAACCCGTGCTACGTTAGTGTTGTCGAGGGCCGCATCAACTTCGTCCAGCACGAAGAAGGGTGAGGGTTGGTAGGAGTGTACGGCGAAAAGCAATGCCAGGGCAGCCATGGTTTTTTCTCCACCAGAGAGGTGCTCCATGTCTCTGAACCGTTTGAGGGGCGGCATCGCATGGTATTTGATACCATCAAGATAGGGTTCCTCGGAATCTTCGATGTCGAGATAACTATCAAAAAGAACAGGAAAACGCCAGTAGTCAGATAAAATGTCTTCAATATAGCTAACCAAATACTTGCTTTCCGGTTTTCACTTACGCTTTCCCGCCCATGGGATAACTAGCCGTCTTTGTTAGATCGCGATATATGGGCTCGATCTGCTCCGAGATATGCGTGAATGCTTTGTTGAAAAGCTCTGAGCGTTTCCGCATTACGGCCTCGAAGTCTTCCTTGGCCTTCCGGGCCCGTTTCCTGGCGTCTTCAAAGTCCTTCTCCGTACTCCGAAGCTTGTTCTCGACGCCTTCCAGGCGCTCCATCGCCCGCATGTTCGGTGCCATTTTGTCGAGCTCGCTGTTAAGTGATTTGACCCGGTCCTGAAGCTCCTCATCGATCTTGTCATCCGAATCCTGTAGAAAATTGTTAGGTAACACGCATAATGATAAGTATGGGCGACGTTGGTACACACCTCCTTCAGCGAGTCACCCAAGCTTTCGAATTCAACTTCGATGCCATAGTCGTGTATAGCAGAAGCTTGGATGCTCCCTACGTTGGGATCCTCGTCTACGTCCATCGCATCCTCATCATTTTGGACTAGGTCATCAATAGGCAGGGTAGACAGTGGAGCTGAGCCCTTTTCAAGAGGAATATCGATATCTTCCAACTTGCAGCGGCGCAAAAGCGCATACCTACCGGAAGCATGCCGCTGTCTCTCGCCATCCAGTGAACTGATCGCTTTGAGCGTAGCCTCAACATTCCTGGAACGTTTCTGAACCTCTTGACGCTGAGCGGCCAGGTTTTCTGCGGATTGTGAGTAGGCTTCCTGTTGCTCCGCGAGTTCTTCGCCTAGTAACTCGAGTTCTGCGTTGAGCGTATCAAGACGATCCTTGATGGTTTTGCGCTCAGCTTCAAGTTCAGAGATGAGAGCTCGATCTCGCTCTGCCTGCGAGCGGAGTCCTTCGATACGGTCGTCGGTCGCCTGCAGCCGCTGCTTCTCGAAACTGAGCTGGTTCTCAATCTTACTCTTTTGGGTAGTAAACTCAAGTTTCTTCTCTGCGGCTTCCTGTTGCAGCGACCCTTGCTGGGCTTCGTATTCTCTGATGTTGCTGTAACCCAGACGACGGCAGAAGGCTCGGTAGACTTCATCTTCAACCCCGCTAACTGAGCTTTGGGCTTCCGCAATAGATTCATCCAGTTCTTCTAGGGCACGTTTCTTCTCAAGGTATTTTGGCTGGACACTCTTCATTTGACGTTTGGAGAAGTCGACTTCGCCGGACCTGCTTTCAATATTTCTGTCCAAAGCTTTTAGTTCATCCCGAGAGTACGCCAGACGTTGCTCCAGACCTGTAAGCTGTCCCTGAAGACTTTCTTCCTCTGCACCTTTGCGGTGAGCTTTGGGGAGATTGCCCAGGTCCGCAATAAGTTTCTCTTTTAGTTTATGCAAGTTGGTGATATCAGTATCTTCCCAGCGTTTGGATTGCTGATGGCCCGGGCCGCGTCCACCAGTCATGAGACCACCCTTGTGGATAACCGTCCCATCAAGCGTGACTGCTTTGGCATCGACTCCTCTCTCATAGCAAAGATACTTCGCCGTGGCTAAATCATCACAAACGATCGCATTGCCGCAGGCATATGTAATAGCGCGGGAGACGGAATTATCATAGTCGACCGTTTCGATGGCTGGTCGCATTCCCCGGTGCATGCCTTTCAGGCTTGAATTGAAAGCTTTCACTTGGATGGTCTCGAGTGGGATGAAGGTTGCTTGGCCTGCTCTTTGGTCCCGGAGATGCTGGATACATTCCTTGGCCGTCTTCTCGTTGTCCACTACGATGGAGTCGAAATGCCGGCCTAGGACGGTGCTGACGGCGTCTTGATATTTCTTCTGTTTGGGCTTGCAAAGCTCGCTAACCCGACCCTTGACCCCAGGAAATATGCGCTTCAAGGTTGATATTAGCTCCTTGGTACGCAACTCCTTCTCGCTTTGCTTTCGGCCATCGTCTGCCTCGAGGAGCTTCTTCAAAGTAACTTGAAGTTTCTCCTCGAGTTCGGTCCGCATCTGTGCTACCCGAAGCCGTTCAGAAGTAAGATTATTAAGTTCTTTTTTCTTCTGAGCAATTTCCTTAGATGTAGACTCAATGGCCTCTGCCATACTGGATTTGCGATCCAACATATTATTTACATCAGACTGGAGATTTTTGACCTGCCACTCTGTACTTTCGAAATTGCTCTTTAAACTGTTAACAGTCTCGGCATCGGCTTTTCTCTGGCGCTTTAAATTTGTGAGTTTTATTTGGGCAGCAGAGGAACGCTTATTTACGTCTTCCTTGAGCTTGTTATATTCGTGAAGATCGGAATCGCTGAGTTGGATTCCTCTCTTGCTTGCTGTTTTCTTCCACTCATCCTCCCACTGAGATTGAGCTTTTTCGACAACTTTAAGGGCCTTTTCGAGTTGCTTGACGGTTTTCGATTGCGCATCGCTTTCCTTCTCGATTTCGGAAATCCGGGTGGCGTACCTCGCCACTTTCTGTTTCGAGATTTCAATTTTTTCGTCGACAGGAACTAACGAATTCGTCGTATCTTCGATATCTTTTTCCTTGGAGTTAATGCTCTTTTCCACTTTCGCCACGTTCCTTCCGGCGCGAGCATGATCTTTTTTGGCTTCCTCAAGGTTCTTTTCGTATTTTTCTACGCCACGTCGGAATTCCTCCAGCTCGTCTTGGTGCTTCTGGATCTCGGCACTTGACTCCTCAATTAAGCGCTGGAAGTGGAAGAGTTTCCAAAGGATGTGTGTAATAATCGCTTGATCGCGTTCGTCCGCTTTCCTTGCATAATTTTCCGCTTCTCTCTTCTGTTCCTGATACTGCTTGATTTCGGAGTTGATACCTCTCCGTCGGTTCAACTGCGCATTTTGGATTTCCGCTGTTTCTTCCTGCTCCGCCTTAAGTCTTTCGTACTCTGCCTTGTATTCGAGACTTCCGGAAATTTGCTCTATCAAGCGGGTCAGGTCCCTTGGTGATTGAGAAGCAATGGACTCCACGTCTCCTTGGAACACCAAGAAATTGCGAGCCTTGATCAAAATATTTTCATCTTCGAGTGACTGGTTGTATTGCTGTGCGGTTACAACGCGATTGTTGATGCGATACTCGCTCACTCCTTGGCTTGTAATTGATCGTTTCCAATGCTGCTCTTCTCCTGCGTCATCTTCATACACGGCCATGACCCATGCGACTTTTGGGTCATTTCGTTCAGCGGGTTCCTGTGACGGTTCCACGTCGCCATCACCGTTCACGCCATTCTGGACATTCTTCGAGGCGGAGCCATCGTCATTGATGGTCGATGTACGAAGCACGCGCCCACGGTATACCAAGTCGCGCAGATGCGTTGAACGAAGGTGGGATGACTTGATTCCTAAAACAAACGAAATCGCATCCATCCTACATATTCGTCAGAATCAAACAGCGCACACCTGAGAAGGGTACCACTAACGAATTCGATTTCCCCGAGCCATTAGGCCCAATAATGGACGTGAAGAAGGCATCGCCGAAAAGCAGAGTATGATGCCCTTTGTACGATTTGAAATCTATTACAGCACAGCACATTAGCATCTTAACATATCATAGAATATCCCAAAAGCAGCATCTGGGGATAGAACTTACTGAAGAGCTCGAGCCGAATTAGTTTCCCCATGGTCTCTCCTCAAATCGCACCCACCCGCCGTTGCCAGGCGAGCGGGGATTCCAAGTCAAATTAAGGCGTATGACGCGGAAAATGAGATGCTTGTGGATAGCTAGGAATACTCGATATTAGCTATCGCGTAGCCTGAGGAACAATGAACTAGGTACGTGAAATCCCCATCCGGGTGCTGGGACTTGGTGGTTTCGACTTTTTGATGCTGCTTCTCGTTCGCGACGCGACCTGGAGCAGTGGCCGTAATGTAATTTATTAGTCATACTATGCCATCTCCCGTTAGCGTGCCAAGCTTCATTACGGTTGGAATCAGTCTACAGGTACAATCGCGAGCCGCCATTATTTACGTATATGGATGGCAATTTTATGACATCGCCCCGGGAGCCGTGGGAGTTCTATGGTCCCTAGCTAAGGGCAGTGTAGTCGATATTGGTTTCCATTCCCTTCCCGAAGCGGAGCAAGTCGCGTAGCACCCTTACAACCACTGTCTACACTTTTTAAAGATGCAGTTTCTCGACCTACCTACCTAATGAAATATTTTTGGTCCTCGGTGAAGAACTACCCGCTTGGTGACTTGAACTCTTTGTACAAACCAACAGGCGCTTATACTCCCTTCTCGATGCTAAGCTCTATCGACTTGGCGCCAACTCCTCTCTACTCTGGGCTGCGGAGCATGGGAATGAAATTACTGCGCGTAAAGCTTTGAACGCACGTGCTTCATTGCGAGCGTTGGGGACTGATGATAAAACACCGTTGATAATTGCATGCCAGCGTGGTCATGTTAAGGTCGTTGAACTCCTTCTCAATAGAGACGGCATCGATCTCAACGGCGTTGTCAATGACTGGTCCCCTCCGGATCGCCAATTTTCAGTTTTTGGGTCTGCACGGCAAACTATGTCTCCACTTTTGTTTGCGGCTCATGAGAATCATGCAGACATAGTGAAGCTATTGCTCGACCAACCTGGCGTCAATCCACACTTTACCGACGGCTAGGGCTAGTCGGTGTTGCATCATGCAACCAAAGACGGGTGCGAGTCAGTATTGAAATTGCTCCTCGAAAATGACCGTACCCGAACTGCGGCGGATGGCGGCGCGCTGGTTCTTCTTTTATTCAATATGAAACGGTGTTCTGCAGTCTCATTGCTTCTGAGCACGGATGGCCTAGAAGTTGAGCTCTCCCAGCATGATGCGGGTGACTTGCTGCTCCAGTCGTTGAGTATGGGGCTTCTACATATTGTGAAAAAGCTGCTAGTGCTTCCTAGCCGCTCAACGGAGTCCAGGTATCTCTATGAATGGACAACCCGCTTGACATTTGCCGTTGTGCGTAGCGATAAGGCTGCCGTGACCTCCCTTCTCACAAATACCGCAGTCGCGCTAACCACCAAGCCATTTTTGGGTTCACACCACTGTCGTTGCCTCTATGCATGGGGAATGAGGATATTGTCCGGCTCCTCCTTATAGCGGATCATGTCGACCCAAACATCCCAGTCGAGCATGGACAAACGCCTCTATGGATAGCTGCTACATTTGGAAACGCAGAATTTGTGAAGTTGCTGCTAGGAAATGACAAGATTTGATGTCAACCTGAGAGATCGGCACAATCAAACTCCGCTCACCAAGGCTTCAGAACTTGGGCATGTAACGGTCGTCAAGTTGTTGCTTGGACATGAAGATATTGAACCCGACACTGAATGTGACGTCAGCTGGACGACACTGGGCGGCGCTGTTTATAACGGTAACCATGGGGTTGCCAAATTGCTACTTGAGGCCAATCAAGCGATGTCAATGCGGACAAGGTGGGTCCAACCGACCTGTGGGTTGCTGTTCGTAAAAACGATCTGGTGATGGTGGAGCTCCTCCTGGCGACGGACGGAGTAGATCCAAATATCGTCAACAAACTTTTCAGGACGGATCCGCTATCGGTGGCTGTTCTACGAGGAAATGTGGAGATTGCGGGAAAGATTGCTGTTGAGAGAGGATATCAATGTGGTTCACATTGATACCGTGGCTAATGCTCCTCTGGACACTGCAATTCTGCGGTTATCTGGCGATAAGCAGCAGCGTATGGTCGAGCTTCTATTGACTAAAGGGGCAGTTCATAGGCAGGAGTTGCTTTCACCGAAGGAGGTTCTAAGTAAAGCTGACCTCGTAGCGTAATGGAAGCTCTTAAGAGGTGCTAGTTTGCGAACTTAAATAAATATAACACTATGCTTTCATATCTTGTTGCGGAATCTTTCACCCAAAGCGTACGGAGTACTATGATGCAAACTGTACAGGAGAGGAGAAATTCATAGGTCCTTAAAGTTGGCTACTCTAGAACAGGGCCCTAGGGACAAAAAAGGTGATCTTTGACCAAGTGACACTTCGCACACAACAAATAGGAACACATTCTCTATATATGATATCTCCGAATGATATTGACCCAATTGCGACTACTCCGTAGTTCTTGGGCCAAACTGCAACCGTCTGACCATGTGACCTGGTGGCTTCGCGACCCAGTCCGGCTAGCGCGAATCACCAGACAGCTCAAGCTCGGATTAAAGATTAACTAAACCAACCATGTGGAAAGCTTCATGCACGATCTTCTCATCTCTCTTGGACAGCAGGCTGTTAGCATCATTTTCCCTCTTGTTGAACCACTGCGAGCATGGTGGGCATGGTGACCTATTTTCTGTCATTAGGTCCATTTAAGGGCCGGTCTGCTCTCTAGCCCTTTGCTCATCGTTCTCCTCGCATTTTCTCCGTCGTATGAGGAAGTCACAACAGGTGTAATTTATTTTGAGGATATTTTCATTTACGTTATATATAGTCACCGCATTATCCCGTCGCATACCCTGTTTAACTTGTGAAGAAACCGAGCCAATATTCTTCCCTTGCGGTTATGTCTGTGGTTATATATGCCCAGCCCACTCTTGCCTGTTTTGAATTCGATCGCAACCCAGGTATTTGGGGCTGATATTGAGGAGGAGTTTATCAAAGGCATTTCCCTCCTGTCATATTCCTGAGTCCAGCCCTCCTTGTACGGCGCCCGGCACTTTTAGGTCGAAATGTCTGAGCCTATTTCGATACCGAAGAGCAAGTCACAACCAGATCGTTTGAATGAATACGCGACTGAACCAAACACCGAAATCCTCGACGCGATAGCATATGATCGGGATGGATCTTCCAATTCAACGCCTGATGCTTCGCCGTCATACAATATTGGGCTATCGCGGACATCTTCATTTGGGGCGAGCAGCTCGTTCCAGGAAGATTGGGAGCCTTTCCCTCCTCTGGACAAACTCACTGTTTTTGATCTGCTAGGGAACCTTGCACTACCCCAGAAGCTAGAAAAATGGCAGAACACATTGACTGTTCAGAAAGAAAAGGTTAAGAAACAACAGGAAAAACTGAAGAACACAGGCATACATGCGAAGCAAAGGGTCGTGGGGGAGTGGCGCAAGCGTGTCCCGTCTTCAGACGACCAGCTGGAGAAATACCGGAAACGCATGAAAGATTCTGTTGAGCGGCTAGGTGCTCGTTGGAATGATACTGCGACAGTCACTGCTCGTGAGAAGGTTTCCTTCATCGCAGGTGTGCTTAACATTCTTATCTGTGGATATTTGCTTGGTGCTTACCCGGAATATTTCTTCTACTGGTACACGGCCCAGTTTTGTTATTTCATGCCAATACGCTATTACACCTATCACAGACGTGGATACCATTACTTCCTGGCTGATCTCTGCTACTTCGTCAATTTCTTAACGGTTTTGACTATTTGGGTGCTGCCGGGCTCGAAAAGATTGTTCCTTAGCACATACTGCCTTGCATATGGTAATAATGCCATTGCTATTGCCATGTGGAGGAACTCATTGGTGTTTCACAGTTTTGATAAAGTTACTAGGTAAGTAGGGCCTACGGAGAATCTATATCGATATCAGTTTTCTGACAGAGTTGATATCTAGCCTGTTTATTCATATTATGCCGCCCGTTACCCTCCACTGCTTAATTCATATGACCCCTTCTGATGTATTGCGCAACCGATTCCCCGCTGTCTACAGCATCAAATTCAGCGAACCAGGTAGCCCGGAACATTACTCGCTCGCCGCAATGATGATATGGGCTACCGTTCCTTACGCGGTGTGGCAGCTATCATATCATCTCCTCATAACGGTTCGTCGGCGTGAAAAGATTGCCGCAGGGCGGCCGACAAGCTTTACTTGGCTTCGAAAGTCATACGCCAAGACCTGGATTGGAAAATTTGTCCTCAGCCTCCCGCTCTCCTTACAAGAGCCAGCTTTCATGCTCATACAATATGCCTATGCGCTGCTAACTATAACCCCATGCCCCTTGTGGTTTTGGTACAGTTGGGCCAGCTCTCTTTTCCTAATGGTCGTTTTTTCCTGGAGTGTCTACAACGGCGCGACATATTATATTGACGTTTTTGGGAAAAGGTTCCAAAATGAGCTGGAGCAGCTTAAGAAAGATGTTGCCAAATGGCATACTTCTCCCGAAGGCGGCTCGACCAGTCCTACTTTAGTTCCCGAGTCAGGCAATGGGAAGATATACAGCCATGATGATATGGAGGTCAAGCAAACGGGCTCGTCAGTCCACTGCGCAGTCAACCAGATCCCGCTCCTAGATACGCAGTCAGCCCCTACAACTGTGGATTCTCCTTCAACTTCCGGCCTCTATCCTAGAACCTGAAATCACGGGTCCCACAACCCTCTTTCGTCTCTTCGTCCTTTTGCCTTTTTACTTTTTTTCGTTAATTTCTTTCGTTATGGATACCCTCCTGAAGCGTTCCCGTTATTCTTGGACTTTCTATTTTCTGCGCGTTATCTGTCGATACTGCGAGGCGAAATTTGCCCATCAGCGTGTTTTTTACCTCCTGTGTTGCCCGCCAACCAGCTGGATATGTGGTATCCATTTTTGCTTTTCGAATCCAGTTTCAATGTCTTTTTCTGGGTCAGTTATCTTTGATAATTTTGGACAAGGAGTTTTGAACCTTGCTGTTCCCCGTTGATTTATGTAGGGTGATTACCTGACATTACTAATCTGATCATGATATTGTAACTTGATTGCGTTCCAATTCCATTCTTTTTCCCTGTTTCCCCATCGAAGTCGACTTCAGATTGCTGAGGCGACTCCACCAAAAACCTGGAGATGACATAAACGTCACGTGATTGTCCAAACTTTACCTAGCGCGGTTTGCACATTGATAACCTCCGCCTGTTTCAACCTCGACCATAGCAAATCTTTTTCAACCCACCATTCTTCAAAACCCTGTTCTTGCACGCTTCGCTGTTACTTATATACCATTCAACGCATACCGGAAGTTGCTATTCGAATTTTTCTCACTCTCTCGACGCGGCAGCATGAAATCGGTTGCCCTGACCCGCAATGCGGTGTCAGCACAGAGAATGGCCGCATGTGCGTCGAGCATCAAGACAACTCTCCAGTGAATATTCAGTTACTGACCCCGAATAGTACGCTGCCGCATTCCAGGAACTCTAGGTCCTTATTCGGCCGCGACTTCACGTTACCGACGTTCCCTTCCCCAACATGTCCAAGCCCTGGCTCTTCTCCTCCCGCTCGAGCACCAACAGCGCGGCTATGCCACGCAGCACACTTCCTCTTCAACTCCCTTAGAGCCGCCATCATTCCCTCCTCCAGGGTTTAACGCAGACCAGGCGAAGAAGCCACTCCCAGCAAAGACTGCGCAGAAACCGACACCAGCATCGGTACAGCCGGATAAAACCGGAGGCGAACCTCGTGAGCAGATCCAAGTTACATCCACAACCGATAGTTCATCTGCAGAAGCGATGGTTGCGGAAGGGAAAGATTTAAACTATCATGATGTGGAAGCTGCAGAGAAAAGGACTGTTGAGGAGAAGAAGGAAGCTAAGAAACTTACATTGGGTCAGAGGATCAAGAAAGAGGCCCAGCATTATTGGGATGGGACTAAGCTATTGGCTACGGAGGTCAAGATCAGTACACAGCTTGCCTTAAAGATGGCTGCTGGTTATGAACTTAGCCGTAGGGAACATCGACAAGTTAGCCTTCCATCTGCGAATATCTTTTGATTTCCGCTCTCCTTCCATGTGCCCGACCAAGCCGGAATGATATCGCTAACGTATAGATAATAGCTACGACGTACAGTTCAAGATTTAGCTCGACTGGTACCCTTCTCTGTTTTTGTTATCGTCCCGTTTGCCGAATTCCTCCTGCCGGTCGCACTGAAGCTCTTCCCGAACTTGCTTCCCAGCACCTATGAAGGCCAAAAGTCCAAGGAGCAGAAAGCAGCTATACTTCGCGCGACACGGAAGGAGATGGGCTCGTTCCTGCAGAATACACTCAAGGAGACTGGCCTTCCAGTCAACGCCAGAAACGCCAAAAAAGAAGAGTTCGCTGAGTTTTTCAGGAAGGTTCGAGCTACTGGCGAGTCGCCTTCGGAAGAAGATGTTATCAAGGTCTGCCAG